AACTTGGCGCTCCTGGTTTCGGTGAAAATTCTTCTAGTCTTTCCTGCCCTCCTCTTGAACGGTCCTATGTTGCATCAATTCAAGCCCACTACCCAGAAAGTCGAAAGGGTTATCCATTTCCTTCCGAAATTTTATCGGTCAGTTTTGCTTTTGCAGTTTCGTTAAGCAGTGCTTACGAGGAAAACATTAATAAGTTTTTCCTTTAGTTATGCTTACCGAAAGGGCTCCGCTTTTACACTCAGAGCAATGTTCCTCACCCTGAAGTGCATACTTTTGCTAATGTTCGTGAAGATGGAATGAGGATAGACGGCACAGCGCTTATATTTTACGAGGTATTAACATTTAAGATTTAACTCATTCTTCAAGTCACTTTTTATGTCTTTTCGTTTATCAAAATTATGGTTATTAGGAGGTAACTGATGAACAGCTCTGCCAGAGAATGGCTGATTTACAAGCAGAACATGTTCGTGCACTTACAGCGCTGGATAAAGCTTCTGAGCGTACTCACCTTCCACCTGGGACTGTATCCGGCGGTACCCATACTTTACCGAGAAGCAATAAAAAGGTTTCCTAAAGCTGTTTACAAAAAAATGTGCAATTCTTAAAGACGCTTTAACAGTTTTATACGAGGATCAGATTTTTACGCATGTTTGAATAGATTTTTCTTTGTACTGAAAAATTTCTGATTTTAGGACCGCCATAAGCGTACATCATATTATGATTCATCTCGTAATTCTCATCTTTATGTTTCTAAGTGCATATGTGTTTTAACACGAATTCCAGTAGTTTCTTGTACTACTCACCTTCTAAATTCGTTGCATGAGATGATTACCTCATCAGAAGAACCTCCTCTTCCTTTAGAATCGTATATATACTGGATGCTTAACGAAGTCAGTTCTGTTGAGGGTCGTTTATTTTTTTGCTCTATCCTTTTAAAATCTATTTTTGTTTTTTGAATAAAGTTTCTAGTGTAAAGTAATTGTTTTTTCTCACGTATATTTTTTTGCAGGTACCTTTGCCAGCTCCCGGTAGCACTTTAAAAGTCTGCCTTAATGAAGTTGATATGGTGCTTCAGAGGCCAGCTCCTGGTGAACTTCCTTTCTTTGACCATTCTTTATGTTCCTTGTTCAGCATGGTCACTGTGGATAAATTCCTACGCCTTTTTACTTGTTTTCTTCTCGAACATCAAATTCTTTTGTGTTCTAAAAGTAAGATTCATTGGACCGTCTCTTAAGCACAACTGTTTGAATATATGAAATATTTGGAAGCTTCTTTTACGCTTCTGGATCACAACACCATAACACAATTTCTTATTTCGTAATTTTTTGTTTAGGTTTGTCACGTCTAATGTTAATAGCGGAAAGTCTTTGCCTACTTGCTTTTCCGTTTCGATGGCAGCTGACTTATGTGCCAATCTTACCTTATTCTCAATTAAAATTTATGGAGGCACCAGTACCTTACATAATGGGGTTATGTTATGAAGAGGAGGTTCCCGAACCAATTTTTCAGGTCTCTATTTTTTTTTATTTTTCTTACTACAGCTTTCGTGATGGACTCACTGGCGGTCTTTGCAGTCAAATGTGTGTGTTTTTGACATCGATACGGGTGGTTTACAGATGCCAGAGGACGTTCCAACCATTCCAGACAAAATTGAAATGATACAGGAGGTTACTAACGTTTTGTTGCGGTAAGTAATACTGATTACTTGTCATGTGCTTTATTATTAACGGACATTGTGTCTTTTTCCGATTTCTAAACTTGATATTTGCCTTTTAGGTTTGAAAAACAAAATAGTGACTCAGGGATGCACTTCACCCCTCAGGAAAACAATAAACCTCTATCAAAACGTAAGGAAGAGTGGTCGTCTAAAAGAATGTCACGGTCATTTGATGACGACGCTCTTGCTAGCTTGTATAATGAAGGCAAAAGTGATGGGAACATGAAGCCATCAAGAAAAGGATTAGCTCCGTTGCCTCTGGATGACGTTTTGAAACAGAGCGAAGTTCTTGCCAGGTTAGTCATACTTTTTGAAATAACTTTTTTTTCATCTGTTATTGATTCAGAGTGACCGCCATTGCACGTCGCGCTGGTGTAAATGTACAGATGGAGAAAATTGAGAGGGAGTTACAGTCTAATGATTCTTATATGAACTCTCCTTTGTGTAGGAGATACTTTAAGGTAATGTTTACTTTATTATGTAACTTCCGCACTACAAAATTTGAGTTTAGAAAATTGTTTGCTTTCTTTTTGATTTTTATTTCTTTTATATTCAGACTAAATTATTACAGGAGATGAAACTCAATAACTCAATCCGAGAGGTATTTTTGAATCGGTTTGCTTGGTTATTGTATTCCTACGAGCATTTTGTAATCACTGCGAATGCAGCAGATAAAGATTTGTATTTTGCGAGCAGAGATTCCGTTGTAAATTTTGACAAAGCAGCTTTTTTATCGGATCAGCCGGACAGCAATTTACCTTTTCTGGCAGCGTTTCTTGAAACTCAGGTGCTGTATTTTTTAGTTAGGATTAATTATTTTCATTTGTTCTTCTCAACATGCTATGTGTACATTTTATATTTCAGTTTTTTTAGGTAGGCTTTTTAGTAG